TGTTAAAAAGTGCTAATCATTACCTGAGCTTTCAGCAAGTTCTAATCTGTTTGGTGGTGGAAGTTCTTGCCTTGATGTTGATGACTTCTGACTGATCAGGGTGGAAGTTGCTGAAGGTGGGGGTAACTGTGGCAGTTCTTAAAATAAGACCACAATGAAGTTTGCTGCATTAATTGACTCTTCTTCCTTTTAGGAACGATTTCTCTGCAGCGTGCAATCTGCTTAATAGCATTTTACCCACAGTAGAACTTGTTTCAAAATTAGAGTCCATCCTTTCAATCCCTGTTGCTGCTTTATCAACTAAGTTTATGTCATATTCTAAATCCTTTGTTGTCATTTCAACAGACTTCACAGCATCTTTACCAGCGGTAGATTCTATCTCAAGAAACCACTTTCTTTGGGGCACCTGGGTGGTTTGGTTGGCTAAGCATCCGACTTTGGCTCAGGTCATGATCTCACAGTCGTGAGTCTGAGCCCCGCGTCGGGCTCTGTGCTCACGGCTCAGAGCCTCGAGCCTGCTTCGGATTCTGTGTCTCCCCCTCTCGCTGCCCCCCCCCCCCCCCCCCGCCTCAAAAATGAATAAACTTAAAAAACACTTTCTTTGCTGATCCATAAGAAACAAGTCCTCATCTGTTCACGTTTTATCATGAGATTGCATCATGTCTGTCACATACTCAGGCTTCACTTCTGGTTCTCTTGCTGTTTTTACCACATCTGCAGTTACTTCCTCCCCTGAAGTCTTGAAACACTCAAAGTCATCCATGAGGGTTGGAATCAACTTCTTCCAAACTCCTTGTTAATGTTGATATTTTGACCTCTTTCATGAATGATGAATGTTCTTAATGGCATCTAGAATGGTGAATCCTTTCTAGAATGTTTTCAATCTACTTTGTCCACATCCATCAGAGGAATCACTGTGGCAACTTTGACCTCACAAAATGTATTTCCTAGATAATAAGGCTTGAAAGTTGAAATTACTCCTTAATCTATGGATTGCAGGGTGGATATTGTGTTAGCTGGCATGAAACAACATCAGTCTAATTGTACATCTCCATCAGAGCCCTTAGATGACCAGGTGCATTGTCAGTACTAAAGTTTTGAAAACAGTCTTTTTTTCTGACCAGTAGGTCTCAACAGTGAGCATAACATATTCAGTAAACCATGTTGTAAACAGATGTGCTGTCATCAGGCCTTGTTGTTCCATTTATTTTAGAGCACAGGCAGAGTAGATTTAGCATAATTCTTAAGGGCCATCGGATTTTGGAATGGTCATTTAGCACTGGCTTCAACTTAAAGTCACCGGCTGTGTGAGCCCTAACAAGAGAGTCTGCCTGTCCTTTGAAGCTTTGAAGCCAGACATTGACTTCTCCTCTGTAGCTGTGAAAGTCTTAGATGGCATTTCCTTCTAATATAAATATGTTTTGTGCACATTAAAAAGCTGTTGTTTAGTGTAGCCACCTTCATTAATTATGTTAGCTAGATCTCTGGACAACTTCCTGTGGCTTCTTTATCAACACTTCTTTCTCCTTGAACCTTTATGTTACAGCGATGGCTTCTTCCTTTCATGCCCCCTCATACCCATATCCCCCCCATTGGGAAGGGGGGGAAAGCCACACTCATTTTTTTGATGTGCTTATAGCAAAGTGTATTTGCTTTGATTTATTCTAGTCAGTAATCACTATTATATCATAATATGTATATGGTTTTTGAAAAATCCACATGTAAAGAAAAATAGAGAATATGAATGTTAGTGTTAATTGCTTTCCACCATTATCTTACTTTAGTTCAAACATTTGAACAGGTGTATAAGATCACCATTTACCCTATACAGTGTAAGTTTTCATTACTGATTATTTTGGGTTTTGCAAAAGAATGTAAGATTCTGTGTTTTCTTTGGGCTTCCTGCCACATTTCTGGTAGTTGTTTATTTTTACCTTGGCTTTATTCAGTGCTGTGCTTTTCATAGCTCGGTAAACAATCACAGTACAATTATAGAGCCAATCCCCTTGCTTTTCCCTCTTAGTTTACTCATAGGTCTTCAGGATATTTACTTACAGTAGGTCTGTAGAGTCTAATTTTGATTCACAAAATTAGAGTAGGTTTGCTAGCTTTTTGCAGTATTTAACGGCAGTCTGCATTTTGCTGACATGAACAATTTATACTGTGTTGTTTGCAGCAGCAGGTTTCATTTTGAGATGTGTAAGTAAGTGTAGGAGTTTGATTTTCAGATTCTGATGACCTGTCATGATAATTTTTCGGAGAAACCCTGTCAAGCCTGTAAAAGAGAGCATACCATTTTTAGGTTGAAGGTCTGAATATAAACCCATTGTAATTGTACATTTTGTGTGTGTGTGTGTGTGTGTGTGTGTGTGTGTGTAAAATAATTTTTTTAAAGAACGGTTTTAGGATCACAACAAAATCAGCAGGAAGGTACAGAGATTTCTCATATACCCCTATCCTTTCACATGCATCTCCCTTTCCCATTAGCGACATCACTCACCACAGTGGTATATTTGTTGCCAAGAATGCACCTATATTGACAAATCATAATCACCCAAAGTCCATAGTTTGTCTACCTTGGGTTTCATTCTTGGTGTTGTGTATTTTGTGAGTTTGGACAATGTGTGATATGTTTTTATCACTATCATATTATGCAGAATATTTTTACTGTCCCATGAATCCTCTGTGCTCTGCCTATTCATTTCCCCACCCTACCCCTGGCAACCACTGATCTTTTTATTCTCTCCATAGTTTGGTCTTTTCTACATGTTATATAAGTTGGAATCCTAGAGTATGCAGTCTTTTCAAACTGGCTTCTTTCCCTTAGTGCTATGTACTTAAGGGTCCTCCATGTCTTTTTGTGGCATGAAAGCTCTTTTCCTTTTAGTGTTAAATAATACTCCGTTGTCTGTATGTATTACAGTTTATCCATTTGCCCACTGAAGGACATCTTGGTTGCTTCTAAATTTTGACAATTTTGAATAAAGATGCTATAAACATCCATGTGCAGGGTTTTTGGTGGGCATAAATTTTCAACTCCTTTTGGTAAATACGAAGGGGCATGATTACTGGATTGTATGGTAAGAGTATGTTTAGTTTTGTAAGACACTGCCACACTGTCTTTCTAAGCAGTTGCAGTGTTTTGCATTCCCACCAGCAGTGAATAAGAGTTGCTCCATATCCTCAACAGCATTTGATGTTGTCAGTATTCTGGATTTTGGCCATTCTAATAGGTGTGTAGTCTTATCTCTTATTTGTTTAATTTGCCTTTCCCTGATGACATATGATGTTAAGCATCGTTTTATATGCTCTTTGTTACGTCTGTACCTTGTTTGGTGAGCTGTCTGTTCAGGACTTATATTTTAGTCTGATGGTTTATTTTCTAATTGTTGAGTTTTTAAGGGCTGTTTGTGTAATTGGGTAATGGCCCTTTATCAGGTAAGTCTTTTTGCAGGTATTTTCTCCCAATCTGTAGCTTCTCTCTTTGTTCCCTTGACAGTGTCTTTCACAGAGGAGATAATTTTAAATTTTCTGAAATCCAGATTAATGGTTCTTTAATTGATGGATCATGCCTTTGGTATTATATGTAAAAAACCATTGCCAAACCCCAGGTCATCTAGGTTTTCTCTTATATTATCTGCTAGGAGTTTTATAGTTTTGTGTTTCACATTTATTTTTACTAAGTTGGATAGTGTCAATCCTTCAACTTTATTGCTTCTTCATTATTGTGTTGGCTGTTCTGGGTCTTTTGTCTCTCCATATAACTTTAGAATCGCTTTATTGACATCTACAGAATTTTGATTGGGTTTGCATTAAATCTGTTGATACGTTGGCAAGAGCTGACATTCTGACAGTACTGAATCTTACTATTCATGAACATGGAATATCTTTCTGTTTATTTAGTTCTTTGATTTCTTTCGCCAGAGTTCAGTAGTTTTCCTCATATAGATTTTGTACATATTTTGTTAGTTTTATACCTAAGTTTTCATATTTTTGGGTGCTAACGTAAGTGGTATTAGGTTTTTAATTTCAAATAGCACTTACGTTGCTGATATATAGGAAAGTAATTTACTTTTGTATACTAACCTGTGTTCTACAATCTTGCTTTAATTATGTTCCGGTAATATTTTTGTTGATTCTTTCAGATTTTATCATAGACAGTTCTGTCTGTGTAGAGAATTACAATCCCCATTCTTTTGTGCATGTGCATATATTAGTTTTAATCTCATTACTTTAGAAAATAATGTAACTAGTTTAATGCTTATATGAAATATCAGTTAAAAATTCCTATTCTGGAAAGGTTTTTTGTTTTTTTTTTTTTTAATGTATTTTGGCCTAAATGATAAAGTTTTTCTTTAAGTATGGGAAATGAATCTCTTTTTTTTTTCATGTTACTATAATTCCGAGTCTAGATCCAAAAAATAGCACGGGCCATCTTCATTATTTTAGTTTATTCTTACAAGGATTGGGAAAGAAAATGGGATAACTGTATTTGTTTCATGTTTAGTTTTATCCAAGATTTATTGCTTAATCCAGTGGTTTTTATGCCTCTGAGCTAACAAGATACTTACACTTTTTAAAAAACTTCATATGTTTGGTTTGTCTTTGTTGTTTTATTTGTTTATAGAAATTAAAAATTAAAATGGAAAGATAGGAAATTCAGTTCAAATAATAAATGACTTTTTAATCCAAATTGCAATTCTGCCACCTAGTGTTTGCACATGGACTTTTAAAGAATCCATATTTCCCCCCCTTTTTAAGAACTGTTTAAAAATAATTCTTTCCTTCATCCTTAGCTTACAAATTTAATATTCTATCAATAAAACATATAAAAAGGGCATCCATCCTTAGTAATCTTTTTAAGGAATTCGATTTTTAGTATCTTACATGTTAAAGCTCATAAGTTGTTTATAAATTTCTTGTATATAAATTTGCTAAGTGTTTGCCAGTGCTGTTCACAGAATTAAATTATGTGATGAATGAGTATTTTACTTTCTTAGAGTCGAGGTGGAAAAAAGTTTCTTGCTGTACTGAAAGAAATCTTGGACAGGGATCCCTTGTCTCAACTGTGTGAGAACGAAATGGATCTTATTTGGACTTTGCGACAAGATTGCAGAGAGAATTTCCCACAGTCACTGCCAAAATTACTGCTGTCGATCAAGTGGAATAAACTTGAAGATGTTGCTCAGGTAAGAGTAAAAGATAATTTTTATAATTCTTTTTGGGAATATATATTACTTTGTTGATTTCATGTACATTGTCCTTTCTAACATAGGTATATCTCCATAGATTGGATAATTTTCCATAGGAGAAATTTTCATGTTTTAAACCTTTACATATACTCTAAATGATAGACTAGAAAGTTTAAGATTTTAAAATTCCAGATTTTAGGTAGGTTTTCTATACCTTTCACTAAGAACAATTAAAACATTGCTTTTGGTGTAATCATTGTAATTACTACCTGCGTGTAGTAAGTAGGTTCTGGATTATTTCTAACAGTTTCATTCAATGAGCTCCAATGTTTTAATATTAAAATGACTTTAATTTTTGCGATGACTGTTCTAAAATGAACATGTATTGTTTGAAAATTACCTCTTTCTAGAAGCTGATGTTTTAGAGCATAAACCTTTTAGACCACTTTTAACATTCATTTTAATTGGGCAGTATTGATGAATGTTTGCCTTGAGGCAGAATAAAGAAAGGAAAAAAATTGTTCGAAAGAGCCAAACAGATTTTAGTTTCTTGATTTAATTTTCAGAACTTGGAAAAAGCACTGTCATTTATTAAATGCAGTGGTTATCAGTGCTCTATAGAAAGATCCTTGAAATGGTTTTTTAATCAGAATGAATACATTTGGTATGTTTAAAATAACCAAATTTGTTTACCTTACTTGTTTGAATTCAACTGATCTTTTTAAAAGTTTTCTGGTCTTAGTAAATCTATAACAACTTAAAAAATTTTTTTAAATTTAATTCTAGTTATATTAGTGTTATATTCGTTTCAGGTGTAAAATCTATAATGACTTTAAAAAATTTTTTTTTTTTTTTAATTTTTTTTTCAACGTTTTTTATTTATTTTTGGGACAGAGAGAGACAGAGCATGAACGGGGGAGGGACAGAGAGAGAGGGAGACACAGAATCGGAAACAGGCTCCAGGCTCCGAGCCATCAGCCCAGAGCCTGACGCGGGGCTCGAACTCCCGGACCGCGAGATCGTGACCTGGCTGAAGTCGGACGCTTAACCGACTGCGCCACCCAGGCGCCCCTAAA